GATGATAAAGTGCTTTCCTTTAATGGGTTTCTTCTTAATTAATCCCACTCGAGCGCTTTTCTACCAACAACGGGGTAGTCTACTTTCCAGCAGAATCCGTGACACATCGATTTATGACACGGTATAGCGTTTTAACGGAAGTATTGAAGTAGGAGGCTTTTATCGCCGGATACGAGCAGGTGCTCTCGAAAAAGCACTAATTGTTGTAGGTACTCTTATGTCTAACAATAAAATCGCCTAGAAAAGGGAGATTTATTAGATATTCTCGTATGTTTTGTATTTTATTTTTTATCCAACCCATCGTCAACTGCTAGGAGAAATCAAAACATGTAATAGATTTTTTTTTGGTCTGGATTTAGTTTTAACGAGAAGAAATAGCGGCAAAAGAAATGAGAAAAATTTATTTTATGGCCCTATTACTCAAATTTTATAGTGGAACCACAAAAATTGCCACCTTTTTTATAATTAAATAACGATGATTTATTCGAATACAGCATTTAACTCTGTGAGCTCAATCCTCTTACAGATATTTTCAAGATTCAAAAATTCATTGCTGTAAACTGACAAAATACGAGTTATTCCCAGTCGTTTATGTTCAGCATAGCAGACAGCGTATTGGTTAATGATTCTAACATTAACACACATAACAGATTCAATTATTGTGTAAAAAAAAATCAATTCGAAGTGTAATTTTCAACGACGCCGCTATTAATATAGTATCAAAGTATTTGTGACATACAGGGTGGGCCATAAGTGTGAGAAAGTAAAATAACTCCCTTGTTACTCATAATACAGAAAAAAAGATTATATAAAAGTTATACAGAATCAAGAAACCTAAACTACAAAATTAATTTGATACATACAGGGCGATGAGTAAAAACTAGACACTCCAAATATTACATTTTTTAATTGGAACACCCTGTATATTTTTAGTTTTTAAGATATTATATATAGCAACATTTCTGAAAAAACTTTTTATTATAAATTATGAACTGACAAGTTGACGCAATGTGGCAGTTTTTTCCAAAGCCATTTCGTGCGACCGAAAATAATATAAATTAGGTTTTTCCAGAAATGTTGCTATATCTTAAAAACTAACAACTTTAGGTATGGAACATACCAAATAAAAGTTGACGTGGACTGATATGTGAGCAAAATAGAACAATAAAATACAGGGTGTTCCATTTGAAAAATTTTAGAAAATCAAGTTTGAACTTCCTTAAAATGATCGTATTATAAAAAATGCCCTGTATAAATAAAATATCGATATTAGCTAATATAAGTGTCTTTGTCTAATATTTGCCTATAACTCTGCCAAATATTTTTGCTCCAAGTGTTAGTAGTTGAAAGTTAATACAACTTCTTCGAGGTCATTTTTTTTTCAAAATTCGAAGAATTTTCTACATAACTTGGCAACCACGCACTAAAATGTTAAACTGTTTATATTGCCATATATAGAATTTTCTCAGAAATCCATATGTTTAAAAATATACAGGATGTTCCAATTAAAAATTGTAATATTTGGCATGTCCCGTTTTTACTCATCGCCCTGTGCGTTTCAAATTAATTTTGTCCTTTAGGTTTTTTGATTATGTACAACTTTTATATAAACTTTTTTTCTGTATCTCGAATAACAAAGACAGACTTATTTTAATTTCTCACACTATTGGCCCACCCTGCATATGATTAAAAAAAGATGAAAATTATTACCTATTATTACAATTTGTAAACAAAACTGAATTATCTAAATAAGGAAAACATAATTTACGTTTAATTAAATCGAGTTTAATTTTCTCGTTTACCTAGGAGATCCGGCATATTCCGGGAGAAATCCTCAAATTATTCATTAAGAGTTTTCCGAGAGACGCTGTTACTAATTAGAAAATATTAGTAAACTATTTAGGAAACTTATAGATAATTGCAAATTCAATACATTTAGGACTCTATTTATGGATTAATCTAAAACAGTATACCAATGGAAAATTTTGTTCACGAAACGTGTTAAAAAAAAAACTTTAAAAATTGTTTGCAATTATCACGATGGCCCGGAAAAGACAACAGAAATGGTAAGCAGTAGCAACATTTTTCCGATATCGGCTATGTCATATAATATAATTTCTACGAATACTCTTTATTTAAACAAGAAATTGAATTTGATGTTTATCTCGGGTAGATAGTAATACCTACTACCAATAATACATTGAAACTAGACTTGAAATATGGCCCTTTCATTTTCTCCGTACAGATTTATATAATTTAATTAGTTGTCTTGTGAAGAACAATAGTGCACTATCTTGTTAATGAACACGTTTTCGAACCCGTGCTCTTCTCGGAACTTATTATTAAACTCGTCTTCGTTTAAAATTTGCCGGGAAGGGAACGCAGCGAAGATATTACTACAAACAAAGGGGAAACAATACGGATCTTTTCTGATCCACAACTTCGCCAAGTTTACGCTCGTATTCCGCCCGGGCTTCTTCCACTCTCGAAAACAGATCGCTTTGTTCAGCCACATCGCATTTAAAGTTTATTTTTCGCTTGTAAAATTCAAATGTTTACATCCGCGTGCTTTCATTTACGACAGAAATGAATGTCACTTTCTCGGTTCAAAAAGAATCGTTAGGTATTGTTAGTCGATTATATATCGAGTTTATTGAGGAATGGAGGAGGACAAAAACATAAAAAGGTAAATTGTGTTCTGACGGGCTGTAAGCCAATGTACCTTACACATTCCATCCAAATGAAAACGCTGGCCTGAAACGATACCATAGAAAAGGGATTGTGTATAAATTTCTGTGAACCACATCTCCCGAACTTCGTAGGTTGTAGGTACATACTACTATGAAATCCTAAAGTTTCTGATGCGAGGTTTAATCAATCTATTCGACGTACAAAGCTTTACGTGTACAAAGTGACCCTAAAGTGAACACATAATAAACTTGGCTGCAGGACTCGCGAGAAAATACGAGATAATAATTATCTTTTCTTCCCCCAAGGCTGTTTATCTTCAACATAAAAATATTCGTGTGGTAAAACTATATTTTTGAGGTCATGCTGCTAGAATATGACATATTGTTTTTACAAGCAAAGCTACGTCGTAGTATAATAAAATGCGACTTGTCATTCTATCCCGACTTGAACAGGACTTTAAAAGTTTTCCGTATAGTCCAGACAGTATCTGTTTCAAAGAGTTCATATTTGGGTGAATCGTATATCCACGGAGATTTTTGGCTTATTGGCTTTAAAATATCACTAGAAATGAAAATTTTTCTATGCGCATACAAAAAATGACTTGACGGCACAATATGTTAAAAAATTCGAAAAATGTCATATTTTTCTTCCTATCTAATTATGTATCTTTTCAAGAGTTGATTTTAGGCGAAAATGGAAGAGGAAAAAAATGTTTATAATTAAATTTTACAAAATATGACTAGTTACAAATCGAATGAATCATGATTATTATTGTAAAAATCGAAAAAATCGTCAAAAATGGCGTTAAAAACATTACTTTTTAGGGAATTTTTTGGGGTCTTTAAGTTGGGTATAGGATCTTCATACTTGCCTCAAGAAAAGTTCATGTTATGTAGAATCATCACACCAAATTTCATCAAAATCGGTTCTATAGATTTTGCATAATAATTTTTCAATCCAGATTTTGAAAAAAAATTTGCAAATTTTCAAACCAATGACCTTAGATACTTAAAAATTCAATCACATATAGAAGGGCTCTCAAGCCTTCAAACACTGAAAAATTCGAATCTGTCAATTAGGAAAGCTCTGGCGCTTGTTTAAACATTGGTCGAATTTTTGTATTATAATTATGTATTTTTGTAATATAATGAGTTAATTTCTCATTTGCTTATATTTTAAACAATAAATAATATTTGAATTATACTTTAATCACAAAAGAAATGATGATTAAATTAATAATTAATTAATTAATTGTTAATTTTCGACATATTTTGAAAATAATTGTTGTTTAAACGATTTTAGAATATTTAAATAAATTTGNTTTTTGTAATATAATGAGTTAATTTCTCATTTGCTTATATTTTAAACAGTAAATAATATTTGAATTATACTTTAATCACAAAAGAAATGATGATTAAATTAATAATTAATTAATTAATTACTAATTTTCGACATATTTTGAAAATAATTGTTGTTTAAACGATTTTAGAATATTTAAATAAATTTGCTTTTAATCTTTTATAAACAGTTTATAAGTTTATGCACTTACCTTTGATACAATAAAAATAAATAAAGTTGATAATTAAAGGAAGTTTAAAGATAAATAATTATCGGAGTGTTGAAAGACCAATAATTATTAACGATAGACATTTGAAAATACCCTAATTGTTTTTTTTAATCGCTCTAGAAGCTGAGATATTAAAAATTTTTAAGCGCGTCGCGGTTTTGAATTCGCCGATTCAATTTCGAGCAGGCCGAAGCGGCCGCGCTTCCCCCACCACCACCAGTACGATTTTCTTGAATTTATTGTTTGCATAAATAACCTGGTAAGTACTCCCAATACCAAAGGTATTTTTCGAAAAATTTGCCCAGATGTCCCAGTATAATACTCGTACATTTAAAGTAAATGACGGTTAACTTTGATCGACTATAACTACGTAATTAATTAACCAATCGATCTGTTTTTCTTTTAGAGAAGCGTCTTTCCAAGAACTTTTAAAATCTATTTTAAAAAATTTGATTTGATTGAATATTCACAAAGTTATTCTAATTGTTTATCAGTACAAAAATTTGACCAATGTTGTTTAGATAAGCGCCAGATCTCTCCTAAAAGTTAAGCCCACGTTTTTTTTTATGCGCATAGAAAAATTTTCATTTCTAGTGATATTTGAAAGCCAAAAAGCCAAAAACCTCCGTGGATATACGATTCACTCAAACCAAAACAGATATCGCCTAGTCTAGTATTAGAATAGAGTGTAACAATGTGGATCATCAAAATTGAGGTCAGAATATTAAAAAGTAACACTTACTGCCCATCCACGGCGTCTAAAGTTGTCACCTCCAGTCCCAGCTCATCGAAACAGGCAAACATCCTTCGTCTTCTCTCCGGCCGCCTCCTCAAATTAATCATGAAAATTTTGTCAAAACCAAGTGTATCCTTCTCGGGAATTTCGGGAGTAAAAGACGCGAGGAGATCATTGACGTACAGAGTGCCGTTCTCAACCAGCACCTCTAATTTGATATTAATCAATTGTTCGTAGTCCAGTGCCAGTTGATCCCCTTGTTCCAAAGGGACCATCACGAAACCGAATATCTCCTCGTTGCACAAGTTCAAGGAGATGCCGCTGCGATTGGCGCCAACGGCGAAGGTGATAATGTCGTCGTTTGGTCCGTTGAAATCTTTTATGTTGCCGGGAACGTAAGTTAGCATGTCGGATTCGGATTTTCTGAGGTTAATGAGGACGCAGGAGTGTACCATGGGCACGTTGAAACACCCCACGCTCTGTCTGTTCAGCACGGGTTTGTATTCGTCAGTTCTCTGATAGTAATAGTCCTCGGTCATCCCGTGCCAGAAGTTAGAATACAATCCGTCCGATCTCAGCATCGGGGCGACAACGGTGAAGTTTTTGGAAACCAGGTAGTTTAAGGTCTCTCGGTTTATTAAAAATACATCACAGTCTATCGCCTGTAACAAAAAAGAATCGATTATTCCGTACGCATGTCCGCAAGTAAAAAAAAAGGCCCGCCCAGTGGCGGCTAGTTTTCAAAATATGATTTTCATGTTTAAAGAGAAAACTCAACCTAAAACCAACGAAATAATAAGTTACAAATCCTCGTAAACCTTTACTGGATCATCGGTGTTTACATGGGCGTAATGCTATTAACAGAATAGAAGGGAGAGCCAGCTTTAATACCTACAGTGAATAGGATTACATGGCTACATGCTTATGTGAATCTATTACTTCCTAAAACTCTGCCAGAATATGATTAATAGCATCCATCTGGAGATGTACTTACATTTCATTGCTCTGATAACATGGGATTAGAATTTCGTTATATTTAGCATACAACAATCAACATGAGCCCATTCAAAATTATAATGCATAATAGTATAATAAATCTGTGCATATAATCGTACAAGGTACAGATAGTTCATTCAAATTGTCAAAAACACCTCGTTTTTTTTTGCCAAAATTTAGTTCAGTAAACAAAGACACGTAAAAATTAGGAAAAATTCCGTAGAATTGAATGAACTACTTTACTCCAACTGAATGTTAGGGTTTCATTTTCAAAATGGCGGCCACAAGATTCGCAAAAAAAACAGTTTTCATTAAAAAAAAAACTAAATCTAGAAAAAAACGATTTAGACAAAAGTTGTCGAACTTTTCATAACAAAAATTTTGAGCCCAGCCCGATGTCCATTAATAAACAAATGTATTGCAAAAAACGGCTAAATATCGCATTTTCTTAAAACTTTTTAATCTTTAGAACGAAGAGATTTTTTTACCAAACTTTCAGAATATGTAGTCCTTGGCAAGTAGAATAAGAGCATTTTTGTAAAATATTTGATAGTATTTACAAAAACTGCATTTTTCGAAAAAAAATACATTTTTCTGTGCAAATTGTGCGCGTATTGCAAAATAAATGGAAATATGCGAAAAATCTACCGAAACTTTGACTTCTTTCTTCGGGTCGAATAATGTAGCACTTTTTCATATCGTTGAAGTCTTTCTCCCCCCACCACACCCATCAACTTGTCGAGCGAAACAAGCATTTTACAGGGCCCAAAAAAATTAAGTTTACTATAAAAAAAGGGGGGTCAATCATTACGGACTATTTTTTATATTGAAGTAAACGCATTCAACTACAACATGTGTAAATTTCAGACCTTAATGTTAATAAATGAGGCCGTAGCGATTAAAAAAAAAATTCTCGGTTCCTGTTGGCCGTGGCACATTTTTTTTTTAATTTGAGAAAATGTCAGGTTTCAAATGTCCATAATGACATTCCGAATAAATTTTTACGATAAGAAATAGATCTACATCTAGACAAGAAGTCAAAGTTTCAGTAGATTTTTCGCATATTTCCAATTATGGATAAGCAATTTGCACAGGAAAGTACAACTTTTCGAGAAAATTTTAAGCCCAAAATGGGTCATTACTGTATGATTTATTGAAACATGAATAAAATGTCTTTTTTTCGAAAACTTGCAAGGATTACATATTCTGAAAGTTTTGTAAAAAAATTGGTTTTAAAGTCAGAAGTTTTGAGAAAATGCTATTTTTAGCCATTTTTTTGCAATAACTGATACATTTGTTTATCAATAATTGACATCGGGCTGGGCTCAATTTTTTTTTATAAAAAGTTCTACAACTTTGGTCTAAATTTTTTCGTTTTTTATTTTTTAGTGAAAAAAACTGTTTTTTGCAAAGTTTGGACGCCTAACATTTAGCTGCAGTAAAGTGGTTCATTCAATTCTACGGAATTTTTTCTAATTTTTTTACTGAACTAAATTTTGGCACGAAAAAATCTAATTAGATTGGACTAAAGACACTAAAATCGTATCTCAGCGGGATAGGAATCCAATAATGAGAAATATTTTTTTCTCTTAATTAATTATAGGCGCAAATTAAACACCGAAGCTAACTACCGCAAAATACACCTACACAAAATTGCTCAACGTTTGCTTCTGACTTTCCTGAACATAATATGAGAAGAATCCACTAATTGGTAAAGTTGGTTCCCAATATACAAGTATAATTATTGCTCAACTCTTGCTTTAAATTGCAAGAGGGCAGTATTAAACTCGTCTCGTCAAAAATGAATAGTAGGTACATATTTTATTTATAAATAGCACGTTTTTTTTATGTGAAGTACGGGAATTTAAAAATCCTCCTAAATTATATCCATACGGGATCCACAGAAGATTTGCAAAATTTATTAGAATGTCAAATGAAAACTTACAAGAAAGAAATCCGCCCACATCAATCTAGCGTGATCCAGGGCTGATTCTCGTAAATTTATGACGTGGTTAAACCTGTCGACAGTCCAATGGGCCGGACTTTGTTCCTGGGGGAATCCCCGTTCTAAATCACTGAATTCAGTGTTGATAGAGTGGTAATCACCTTTCACGGATGATATCCACAACCTGAGTATTTCGATACTTCTGTCGATGTTGTGATCACTTCTAATCCTAGAAATAGAGAATAGATATTTCATTATGTGGGAAATTTTACTTAGTTCAGGTGTGCTCAGATTGTACATAAACAAATGAATTAATTGCATATAACCTTGAAGTAAACTTGATTCGCGTCTTTTAAACTTCTTCGAAATTGTGATAACGAATTTTGAAAGTTATTCAATTTAGGCGCGAGCAAACAACCTCAGAAAAACAATTCAACTAAATAACCAAACTAGAATTTGTAAAGGGGGAAATAGGTAGGCGTCATGTGATTTTTCAAATACACCTGTACACGTGCGTAAACAATAAACACGTCTGTCATTTTATTAGTTTTAAGTAAAATTAATCTTGACTTACCATAGAGAAATTCGGTTTTTTGGGTAATTCAGTCTTTCTAAATTCGAGAGAAAATATGGCAACGTGTGAGCTTTATTTCTAACTAAAATTGATATCAAGATAGTCGGTTTTTTAAATTCGTCACTTTTATTTTTCACTGAAGGTACTATGATTAGGAGTAGATATAGCAGATTTTTTGTGAAATTCATATTTTTCCTCAGTGATTGTCTTCAACGCAAAATCATTTGAATATTGCTACTAAAAACAAAACACCGACTACTTATTTGGGTCGAATGATGAAGAATCCAGAACGATTCCAGCTGATGACAAGCGGCCATGAGCAGTCGTCTAGCAACGCCTAAACAAACAAAAACGCGGGAGTTTTAAAAACATTTTAATAGCAACGTCAAAACTATATTTTCCAGGAAATAAAACAACGCATTTAATATGTATGATGTATTTTTGAAAATTCATATAAAATATATCAAAAATTTCATATAAAAAAATAACAATGGCACATCACAGACATTCATTTATTATCGCAGTGGCTTTTCTTCTAGATCTTCCGGACTTTTCTGTTCCTTGATTTTTTTTTGTTGGTAACTTAAACTGGATTTATCGAAATCCAAAGCCATTATGCCGAGATCGCCGCTGTACCTATTTTTAGCAACCTGCAAAAAAAAAAACAAAGTTTAACTTCCCCAAAATTGCAAATCCTAAGCCTGCTATGATTTTCTTTAGGTGCCCATTTATTTTTAAATTCAAAAAATTTGATGATTGAAAGAACTTTATAATGGTACAAGGATATTTACGCGGGTACAGAATAATGTCCTGTTATTAGATTACAAATAAAAAAATTGTAAATTTTTTAAAAACCGGTTTCTAAAACAAAATTGTAGAAGACTTAGAATTTAAATTTTTTAAGGATTATAGTTTTTAAATATACAAGGTGTTGAAAAATATAGGTGAAAAATGTTCCCATATACGTTATTATTTTTTTTTAGTCCAAAATAAATTGACCACACAACTGAACAAGACGATAATTACTCCAAAACTGTTTCCCAAAAACAAAATATTTTTCTCAATAATAAAATCAAAATTAGAAACATTTAAAATCACCTGCAAATACTTCTTCCCTCTGACGGAAGTGAGCCTCTTATCCTGAATGATTAATATGTTGTCCGCCTCCTGCGAAGCCTTCGCCCCGCCGAATATAGAACTGGTGCTCAGGTCCTCGTCGTCCCGCTCCTTCCTAGGATGGATGACCAACGTGACGTGGCAGTTCTTCCTCGTCGCGAACTGCCTGAACGAAGCGATTAACGCGTCCTGCTTCCAGAAACGGTCCATGTATTTCGACTCATCCGACATTCCTATCATGAACTGTACGTTGTCTATTATCACGTGGGCAATGTCGTAAACATAGGTCGCGTGTTCGACGGCCTACAACGGTAAACACTGTTTGACATCTTGTGACGTCTGATGGCAAAAATCTCACCTCCATTACGACTTTTATGGACTGCTGTCCGTGAAACGTCATGAAGTAGATGGGTAACTTCTCGAATTTGTCCGCCCAATGGTCGAACGCCTGCAGGTTTTCGTCGAGGGGGATGCCCGCCATTTGTTGCAGCATCGTCCGAGCCAGTCTGGCGTTTCTTATTTCGAAACTACCCCATAGCGTGTTCACCTTAAACAAAGTTACTCGTTTGGCTTTTTTTCAAAGCGGTGCCAATAAAATGATGGAGAAATTGTAGTAAATCCCCTATTCATCATATTTCGATGGTTTTCACTGTTAAAATTAGATAAAATTTGCACTCAGAATTTAAAATCAAATTGCACTTACTCCCTGCATTGCCAAATCTAGAGAATAGTCGCTAATGAACGTGGTCTTCCCGCTTCCCGTGGGACCCGTGAAAACAGTCAGTTCGCCCCTCCGATGTCCCTTCAGTATTTTATTGAGCGTCGGATATCTCTTCCACTTCACGCCTTGAACCTGACTCAAACGCTACATTACAATCGATTCCCATTAAAAAGACCATAATACTACCTTGTCGATATTCTGAAGGTCGGAAAGCACGTCTGCCCTCAAATTTGCAAACGTGGTAATAGACTTGTGCCACATGGGTTGCGCGGACGAAATAATCGCCTTGAAGTCCTGGTTTTCGTCCAAATGCGGAAGTCTCTGTTTATCGGTCGGTCTGAAAATCAATTTTAAAATCAAAGAATGTCGATAACAATACGGATAATTGAATGGATGCATTGTCAATGAATTTATGGAGGCGAACTGAAAATAAATAAATTCATACCTTATGAGAAAACATCTGTTTTCTCCCAACTTCTTAGCAAAGTGCCGGGCGGCCTCCCATGATTTGGTATCGCTTCCGAACCAAATGACTAGTTTCTTAAATCTTTCCAAGCTGGGTAAGACGTATTGTGGTAAATTATTGACACTATTCGGTAAGCACACGATGTTTGCACTCACTTTTGAATTTAAGAGAACTAGAAAATCAGAAACGTTTGGTATTAAAATGGCTGTATCTTTACTTTTTGGTACCCTTCCGGTTAAAACGCCTCCGTACATTATATTAGGTAATACTGTATCATCGCTACTTAGACCCGTACTTTTCCTGTAGCCGACCACTTCGTTGTCTACATTTTCCAAGGGAAAATATAACGAGGTTTCATCTGGCGCTATTCTAACGTCCATATTTGATAACGTATTATGTTCAATCGCCTACAAAAAATTATTTTGTATTCGCCTAGCAAAATATTTGAGTAATTTTAGGTATTTATGAAGTAAAATATAATTAATCATAAAATTATTGAAAAGAAATGGTAGAAAGAAATAGTGGTGTTTGACTTGTGTTTAAAAAAGTTAATCAATCCAAAAATTACCATAAATTTTTAGCACACTAAAAACTGCTTACTGGGAGGCAAAATTTTCTTAAAACATTCCAAAATGCTGGACTACCATACGCTTTTAAATCGTTTGTGTTTTCCCTAATATCTCGAAGAGATTCGTTAAGTCTTTTCATATTCGTCTCTCCTTCTTCTACCTCTTGTTTGTCAATGTTATTTTTCGTTTTAGATGTCTTGGTACTAAAAGCCATAAAATTATTCCATTGGCCAGTTCTCTTACAAGACGCACACATGAACATACCTAAAAAAAATTAGATATGTTTTTAAATAATAAATTAAAATTACTGTTTTAATCAAATATTAGTAACATTTCACTTAGCAGAAATAATTCTAAACTTAGATTCTTAATTCATTTTAGATTACACTTGCCATATTTTCTTATCACGAACCTGTCGTTTTGTTGATGTAAATTTTGGCCGTGTGTTGCTTAACATTATTACAACTTTTATGACAAAAAGAACATTTTGCAATGAAACAAGTATACCCATCTTCATATGCTATATTATTCGCTTTCAATGTTTTCCTTATTAAGGCGGTAGATACTTCCGGAATATTTTCCAAATTGACGTCATAATACGTTCTAATTCTAATATTAGGAATAATTTTTACAATATTTCTTTCTACTTTAAATTTACTACTTCTATGTCGCACCAATTTTAACAAAAACATTTCATAACCTACATACACAATAATAAAAAAATTGAGTGAACACTGAACCACAGATTAAATCACTGAACAGCCTTCTTCTTCTTCTTCCTTTTCCTGAGTAATAATTATTTATTTTCAAGGATATATAGAGCGTGTTCTTTTTTACAGCGTAAATTTTTGATAGAATTCATTTGCTACATTTGCCATAGACAAAATCTAATTTATAAGAATTTTAATGTTTTATAGCCACTATACTATCTTTATACAGGATGTTTTTATGATTCGATTATTCCTTCATAGGATTTTTTAGTGTTGATATTTGAAAAAACATTTTATAAAATATTTCCGATTTTGATAAAATTTTATGTAACGACTTGTCTGATAAAATTAAACATTACTAATTTTAATTATATAAAGTCACTGCTTGTAATTCATTGTGGTGATTCTAAGAAAAAAAATCCTATTTTATTCTAAAAACGACAATTTTTGACTTATTTTTGCTTTTTTAACTTATATGTAAGAGATTTTCCCCAGAGTATTCCCCTTTTTTCCTGGCCTTTTTTCCCAGAGTTTTTCTCCAGCCTTTTCCCTGGAGTTTTTGAAATTATCCTCTCAGTTAAAGAGCAATCAGTAGTGAATCCCAAATATATAAAACGGCCATTACTGACAAAACACTACCTTTAATTAAGAAGGAAAGGAACCAATATGGATCGTTTAAGGAGAGATACAACGAAAGATCTTGAATGAATAATAAATATATTTTGAAAACAAGTTATACAATTAATTTATTACAACTACACCAAAATATGCCTGTTCAGACCTAATAATAATAAATTATGTGCTCTATAAATTCACCATATTTATAGCGGTACGATTATTTCCAATTCCAATTTTAGATGGTCCATCTCAATTTTATTTATAATTGTAAGTACAAAACTACCGACTCGCCCGCTCTCTTTAACTCTCTTTTCTTAAGCGACGGACCAGTTTCATGTGAAAATAAAATCAGACTCGACGTTCACGTCCCACGGCTGTTCAAACATCTCCGAAGGCAAACTGACGCAGTGGGTCGACTTGAAATCTTTCATGTACTTCCTGGCCTAAAACAAATTAATTACAAGTTTAAAAAATGATAGTCATGTTATTTCTAGCAGTTTTGCTCACCAAAAACATTGCCATTTTCGTCTTCTCGTGACTGCTGAATTCCTCACCGATTCTCATCGGGTAACTCTTCGAATATTCCGATATATAAGACTGCAGCAAAGACTGGCACATGTTCTCGTCAATAGAATATCTCTTGAAGAGGTCGTCTACAAAAATAAAATAAAAATAATAAAAATTGTAACAACTGCAATTCATCGAAGCCAAACCTTGGGATCCTTGTGTGCCTGACAAATAATCAAACAATAAATTTGTTTGAGTGTCATCGTAAATACACGGGTACCGCTGACGGAGCAGTTTAACCAATAAATGATTCCCACGGTTCGACGACAGGTCGTTCTCCCTGAAATTTAATAAAAAATTTAAACATTTGGAACTCATAAAGAAAATCGGACAATAATGGGATCTTACTTAAGACAGATCACTTCGTCTTCCGTACGTCTTATCATTGATACTGGTCCCGAATATTTAGAAAGTTGTTCAAAGATATTAAGGTCTACATATTCACGAATTGCTAATTTAACGATCGGTTCCCACCAACTAGGCATGTGGTTTACGGCTAGTGGTAAAATATCGTCAAACGTAGCATCTAAAATCTGAAAACAAAAAATTGTGGTCAGCTGCGTCACGAATTTTGGTATATATGTCGGACATTTTGGGTTCTTGGCACATTAGCTTTGTTTCCTCCCCAAATAAATTTAACAAAACCCCATTTACTTATTTGGGTGCTGACCAGTGATAGCAAAGACAAGTACAAGTTTACCTGCACTTTAAGAAAACTGATTATAATTTATAACTCCATAGGCCAGTCATTATAGCTTTTTTTCGGGAAAAAAATACTATTAGAAGTTTTTTTGCCGAATATTGTTCGGAAACGAGGCTAGTTGAGAAACTTTGTTAAAAAAATGGTAAAAATTATGGAAAAGTGATTTTTTGACTCGCGTAAAAGCTGGGAAAAATGAATTGAAAATAGCATCTTCTTAGATAACAAATTCCGCCAATGCCAAACCACTGAAGCTTTCGGGTTGAAATTGTTACGTCTTATTAAGGGTGCAAAAAGCCTCAAAAATCCTAAATTACAAGTGTCTGCAATGAAAATTGCATTAATTATTAGCAATTGAAGAAAACGGCCATTTTCGACCATTTTTGAGCTCTTGCGCATAAACAAATTATCGGAATTTAATCGGACTTGTCTCATTTTATAGGCTTATTTAATACCTACCTTTTTTGTATAAACTTTTTTTCACTATGAATAATAGTTTTTTTACGCGGGTCAAAAAACCACTTTTCTATAACTGACCATTGTTTTAACAAAGTTTCCCAACTAGCGTCGAGTAGATTTTTTGATATTTTGTTTAAGATGTTTCCAAACAATATTCGGCAGAGAAACTTTTAATAGTATTTTTTTCCCGAAACAGGCTGTTTCATATCTATAATGACTGGACTATAATTACTTCATAAAAAAAACACATTCAAATTAGTATTCTGGGGACCCTCACCCTTAAGAGTAACCTTAAAGACTAATCTTGAGACATTCAACTGATTTATTACAGCCACATATTTTATAATATCTACTGATAAAGGAATCTCATGTCAATTATTGCAGGTGGAAATAGATATATGACGTTGGATTTGTAAAATTTAAGTTCATCGTACTCACAATTCCTTTAATTTCGGGATAATTCATAACAGCCCAGGTCGCAGGATACCCTCCGATGCTCCATCCGAACATTAAAATGTTTTCCGGTCTGAATCCCAGTTTGTTAATGGCGAATTGGATTACGGCATCAATTGCGTTTTGTTCTTGGGAAGGGTACGGCCTCCCCTAAAAAATGGTGGTTTATGCGATCCGTAACAAATCATTGAAGGTACTTACCGTGCTGCCTGCAAATCCAGGATGGTTCCACCCCAGTACAGAATACCCAGCCTCTATAGGCGTTACCGTTATACCAATCTCGTAAAATCCCGCGTTACCCTCACAGCAAATAACCAGGGTGTTGCCGTTAGGCGAGGCGTTCCTCCTGTTAATAAACATTGTATCTATTTCATTGTTGTCTGCTGTCTGTATTTTGAAACGTTCTCCTCTATAAAGCTCTATTAATCTGGACCTCCCTTGTAATAAACTTTGTTCTAAAATTTACAAAGACAAAATATACATATTTCTCGATACTGAAACGCATTCAACTCAAAGTTCTCACCTAATATTACTTGAAAGAATCCGATTGTACCAGGATAAATTAACCTGATACCAAAAGTATGGATAGCTACGTACGATATAATTTTATAAGGGATATTTATAACGTACTGTACAAGGCTGTGGTGGGACGCTGATTTTCTAACAGAAAGGCGTTGTCTAGATACACTAGAAAAGTGTTAAGTTACCGTACCTTCACGAAAAGTAAGGTATATCAAGAACTTACTTGTTACTTTCAGGTGTATACTCGACAGGCCATGCAGCAAAATCGAAATCATACATATTTAGTCGTTGTTTTACTGCAGGCGTCATATTATCCTGGGCATCTTTCAAGGTAGAAAAAAAATTTTGATAAGTTGGATTTTGGGACCGGCTTAATCCCCTGAAGCAGAATGATACAACTAAAATTACTCCTACACTCGTCACAAGCTTGGTTAACGTGATTAATCCTTCAGGTTCAAAATACCCTCTCTGGTAGAGAATTCCCACAAGAAATGGTGATGTGTAAACTCCAAATTTCCATATAACGTATAACTAAACAAAAATTTATATGTAGAAAGTGCAAGACACATTAAATTGTCAAAAACTTACCGAATTTATAACTTGGTCGCCCCATTTTTCAAGTGTGCTGGGTTGATAAAATTTCTACAAATTTATAAATTAGTTGGTGACAAATGTCATAGAATGAAGAACTTACCTCTACAGGCCCATTACCATAAATTTTAATTAATTTTGGTGAGAACATGTAATCCCAAACAGTTTTTAGTGATGACATTTTGTTGTAAATTACAGGTTATAAGAAATTGACAAAATACAATTTTACATTAGTAGATTTGCAAGTTATGTTTATGTAGCTATTTATGTTATGTAAAAGATAAATAATTACTTGCGGTTCCTTAATTTCGCGAACAAATTTATATCCTTCAATGTTAACTATGAAATAATTATTAAATCCTGATTACTAGTGTAACAAATAATATTTTTCTTGCTTTTTTTGTTCAATAGATATTAATTTTTCGATCACTGTGAAATGGAACGCTCACTTATGTTGATTGACCAATCAGGTTGCATTAAATAGTTCCAAATTTTCATGTCGCCATCTATCGCACAGAAATTACACTAAACTGCGGAAGAATTTTCGTGGACTGTAGTGTACTGTAATAGTCTATAGATTATAAATGCAATTGTTAGGCAACTAAACTTACATTATTATAACTATTACAAGAAAAAGTTGAAACAAAACGGCTTTTATCTATAAGTGCTCATCTGAGCACTTTAATTTTTTGACAATTTTTCATACTGTAGTAGTCCATCGATTTCCTCAGAAATGTTTAGGGTCAGAAAAATCGGAAGAAATTTCGATATACCAATCCAACCAAAACTACATTCATTTCATCTCATTTTTAACTTCTCCAGTTTTCGAGATTTTTTTTCTTAATGAAGGCATTGCACAAAAACCGACGATCTCCGCGCGTTATTAATATGGGCGAGTTATATTATTGGTTTACATAACTAAAGGTAAAAACACTTAATTCGGATATAAAGTATACTTAGTAAGTACTAAGTACTTAGAAGTCTGTGGTCTGTGGTATCTACTACACGTCACATTTTTGTTTTTCGACTTCCGCTGTATAAACCACGGTCGATAATTTTTGAAACCAAAAAAAATTATAGTAGGATGAAACCCATTGGAAAAGAAAGAGAATATAATAGAAATGAAAGGTAAGATAATTTACGGGCGATCTGAGGTCGGGAAGGAGTAGGGGGCGAGTTTTTAAGGGTAAAAAACGGTTTCCCTTGATTTCCAGAAAAACTACAAGTCTTATGGAAAAAAGTTAAATAGCAAAGTTGTAGGTAATAAAAAGATCTACAACTTTTGTATTTACACTTTTTTCACATAACCTCAAAATTTCTGTGAAAAATTCAAATAACCAAGTTTTTGGTTTTTTATTTTTTTTACAAAAAAATAAAAATTTTCACGAAATTTGGTGAAAACTTACCTATGTATGTCCCAAACAAGCTGTAATATTTTTGATTTGAAATATTTATTTTTTCACCTTATTTTTACTTAATATCGAAAAAGCACCCTAATTTTCAATCGAAAATTCTCACGTCAAAATATCTGCTTTTTTAAAAATGTCGGTGGTCTTTTTCTTCGTTGATATCTCTACTTTCTGATGGTGTAAAAAAAAATTTACATTACTATGGTAAGTTTTCTCAGGAAATGCAAAATATTGTAGATGTTTTATTAAATATTAACTTTATTAATTTATTTGTTTGTTAATTATAATAGTATATTTCGACTTGTAATTTTTTTGTTTATCAATGTAACATGGAATCTTACGTTTTTCGAGTAATTAAAGTGTAAATTTTAATAAATAGCTCAAAATTGTACATAATGATTAGAAAAAAATTTTCGGATTCTAGTTCGTTTCTTTGCATTTCCTGAGAAAACTTACCATAGTAATGTATATATTTTTTTACACCATCAGAAAGTAGAGATTTCAACGAAGAAAAAGCCCACCGACGTTTTTAAAAAAGCAGATATTTTGACGTGAGAATTTTCGATTGAAAATTAGGGTGCTTTTTCGATATTAAGTAAAAATAAGGTGAAAAAATAAATATTTCAAATCAAAAAAATTACAGCGTGTTTGGGACATAAATAGGTAAGTTTTCACCAAATTTCGTGAAAAAAAAATTTGTTTGTAAAAGATAAAAATAAAAAACCAAAAACTTGGTTATTTGAATTTTTCACATAAATTTTGAGGTTATGTGAAAAAAGTGTAAATACAAAAGTTGTAGATCTTTTTATTACCTACAACTTTGCCATTTAACTTTTTTCCATAAGACTTGTAGTTTTTCCGGAAATCAAGATAAACCGTTTTTTACCCTTAAAAACTCACCCCCTTCCCCTTCCCGAACTCAAATCGCCCGTAAATTATTTTTCTTTTCATTTCTGTTATATTCTCTTCCTTTTCCAATGGGTTTCATCCTACTATAATTTTTTTTCACTTTTTACCATTTTTGAAGGCTTTAAGCACTGGTCTAATTTAATACAGTAATTATATAGTGATTACAGTGTACTGTAATCTATTGTAGACTAGACTTTAATCATAGAGGTTAGTATTTCGAAAAAAATATATCAAAGTTTGAATGGTAAAATAAAATTATCATAAACTTTGAATTACAGGTCTTTGCCCTTTTTGACTCGAGTTGAACGACCACGAAAAATTTACGCTAGGAAGAAGCAGCTACTTTGTTTAGTAAACCATAAAACACAAAAAGTAAAAAATTGTAAAATGGCTGAAAACTATATTGTTTTAAAGTACAGAGATGGTGTTCGAACTATAACTATTAATCGACCAGAAAAAAAGAATGCAATAAGTCTCAGCATGTATCAAACTATCAGTAATGTGTTGAACGAAGATGCTGCAAATGATAAGGTTGTGGTTACTATATTAACTGGATCTGGTAGCTACTTTACCAGTGGTAATGATTTGAAAGGCTCCTTGTCTCAGGAAATTCCTGTTAAAGATAGCTTGAATGTGGTGAAGACCATGATTGATGCATTTATAAATTACCCGAAACTGTTGATAGCCGTTGTTAATGGTCCTGCAATAGGAATAGGAGCAACAATGGCAGCTCTGTGTGATATTGTATATGCAACAAACAAAGCAGTTTTTGATACACCGTTTGTAAAATTGGGATTATGTGCAGAGGCTGCTTCTAGTTTTACGTTTCCTCATGCCCTCGGAAGAAGTAAAGCGTCAGAGGTATTGTTACTAAACTACAAATTGAGCGCACAGGAAGCATACCAATTCGGATTTATTTCCAATATTATACCCCACTCGTCCTTGAACAAATTCATTAACAATTTGCATAAACATGGCACAATTCCAGTGAAAAGTTTAACAAGAAATAAACAGTTAATTATGGCTAATTATAAGCCTGTTTTGTATGAATCTATCAACAGGGAAATGGAACAGTTGTTTGAATGCATGGCTTCTGAAGAATTTTCTAATGCGATATTGAAGTTTCTGGACAAAAAAAGTAAATTATAAGGAAAGGATATCGGCAGAACTTCAAAAGAGCTTTTGTGAATATTGGGATTAAAATTAGTTGTTATAAGTTTGTAACATTTTAAATACATTTTTTTTTCTCATAATAGCTGAGCCTTTGACTGTTTCTTCTTCTTCTCAATTTAAATTTGTGTTTTTGACAGTGAATAATGGTGAATTCTTTTTTTGTAAAAAGAAGAAGAAGAAGATAATTATAAATAAATACGTGTTATATTCATAATATACACATATACATAATAAACAATTAGTATTTTTTATAGTGAGTAGTGTCGGCTATATGCTGTGTTGCCTTCGAAATATGCTAATGTAGATGTAACGGAGCTGTTCCCAGATTTTCGCCATGGAGAGGTTCATTCTCATCTCGGTAAATATTTTTCAGATTCTTTGAGCTGGGCTTTGCCCAATATTTGGAAGAACGCGAGAAAGAAATGGAAACACCGACCGTGAGCAGTAGGACACTTGGTTTCTCGATGGAGAATGAAGATTTGGTGTACACTGTACAGCAGGTGGGAAAATGACGTGATATGGGACGCGGAGGGTATGAAGTCTATTCCGAAACCTTCCATCCTTACGATAGATCTGAACGATGAGAATATTATTCTTAGTGTTCCCAATGACATTGATCGCTCTAAACAGTTGCAGGTAAATTAAATAATATTTCGCCCCCACTTCCGAAATCCTCCACATCGGGATCCATTCAACATTTCAAACGATGTGTATGTAGAAAAGGGCATACATTTTTGTTTACAGTATATTAAAGTACACAGAAAAAACAATTTTTTATATATAATTTGTTACAGCATTAGTATTGGTTTATGAATGTTAAATTTTGTATTGTATCAAGTTTTTTTTTACATTCAACACAATATTTTGTGTTCAAACTCGAAATTTTGGGCTTTGGAAATTTTAACTAAAAAAACGTTTGAACTCAAAATATAGTTAAATAAAAAAATATCGAGTTGAAGTCAATTGTTCAACCTGGAACTCAAAATTTCTTATTTGAAGTTTGAATTTGTTCTTGAAATTGCAAATTTTGTATTTCAATAAGATATTCCAAGTTCAAGTTCGAAGTTTGATAAAAATAAAATAAAAAATTAATTGAGAAATTTTCTTTTCTTTCGTAGCTATTACCAGCGACGTGCCCTCCGAAACATGCCTTAAAGTGGGTGTGCTAACCTCATCGAGTATTCCACTTCAGTTGTGGAGCTAAGGGTGCCATGGTGACCCGTATGGGCCCGGTACGCTTGAGGAATTTCCACAGGCCGCCTTTGAAGAGGTTCTCCCACGGGTCCCTATGCAAACCGAGGCCCTCGGAGCATCATGCCGCTCGTTGAGCACATCAAAAGAAAAGGCGAAGGTAGGAAATATTCCCCGACTCGACTTTAAAATTTACATGGAACGGTCTCTATCAACGTTATGGCCATCGAAATCCATTTGTTCATATTCCAGGTCTATGACGTGTTGCAATACCTCGCGTCACTCGGCAAGGGGTGGTAGAGGCCAATACGGACGTCGGAATCAGGGTGAGTAGCCCGGGAGATTTCCTTGTTCGTTAAATTTGTTACTTTCATTTTTTTCAAGGAAGCGGAAAGCCAGAAATCCGCAATGAACGTCAAATATGCGACCGGTACGGAAATCAAGGACAATCCTAGAATGTTCATGCTGCAGAAAGCTAATTTCGATTAAGAAATCAACACTGCTGTAAGTTTACTGTCACTAATTTTAGCTGTACTAGAACCATTTTAAGATTGCCATTACGTCACGAGTGTGTCCTAATATCAAAGACGATCGTTGCGGACGTAAATTCATTATTAAACGTGCTAAAAAGAGATACAATGCTGGTATAAATGTCTTCATAGTCTCAGTCTATCACAGACAATCGTTCCAATATATTATGGGTATTAGTAGGCCAGGAAAAAGAGCTGAGAAATGACCATTTCCCGACTTTTTGTTTCTAGTCCAGGCGGTATCTGTTTCGGGTTGGGTAAAACGCATATGATTGGAGATTTTTGCTTTAACGGCTTCTAAATAACATCAGAAATGATAATATTTCTATGCAAATAAAAAAAAACGTGGGCTTAATTGTTATCGCAAAAAAAGTATAAGAAAATAGCAAAAAAATTCATTTTTTTCTTGGATTTCTCGTTGACAACTTAGCAACTATTCGTTTTAGACAAAAATGGATGAGGAAAAAAGTTTTGTAATTAAATTTTGAACAAGATAGAGCTAGTTGCAATTCGAAAAAATAATTATTGTTGTTGCAAAAATCGGAGAAATCATTTAAAAAATTGCAAAAAATGCAAGTTTATTTGTAAATTTTTTTCAGACACTTGAATAATACCTAGGATCTTCATACTTTTCCTAATTAAACTTCTTAGTGCATAGAATCCTCACACCAAATTTCATCCAATTCGGTTTGATAGTTTTTACATAACACCTAATTGCTTAAATTTTTTTTTTAAATTAAAAAGTTTTCAAAATCAAATTTCTAAAAATCTAAAGCCTTCGAATACTTGAAAGCTTCACCACAAAAAGAAGAGATCTCAAGCTTTAAAATGGTTTTTGAAAAATTCAAATCGGACGATTAGGTTGAGCCGTGGTAATTATTTAAACATTTTCGCAATTTTCACGCTTATAAACAATTGCAATAATTTAATGTTATTTACAATTTTTTTTTTTTAAATGTGGTTTGAAAGTACTCGGAAAGACGAGTATTTAAAAAAAAAACCTGATGATCCGCCCATTATTAACGCTCGAGAATTCAGATCGGAGTAGCTGTGTGTTTGCTCCCCCCACCACTGATATTTCATTGATTTCACGCGGTTTTGAATATCTTTGAGTGACATTTTAAATGGGATGCCCTTGATTGCAAATTTTGAAAATTTATATCTGGAAAGTACTCGGAATGATAAACCTATTAGTTCAAAAAACAGCCCTTATACCCTTACAGTTTTGCTGTAAATAAGGGTTAACTTTAACGGGCTATAACTCCGAAAATAATGGGCGGATCATCAGATTTTTAAAATTTTTTTTTTTTTTACAAAATTAGCCCTCGAGCATCAAAAAATGACTTATGACTTTTGAATTAAACATTTATAAACTGCGTTATTATTACCAGACCGTTTTGGCATCGCATCCTCTCATTCCTATCTTTTTAAAACCTACACCTGTCATTTAAAATTTTTCAATAGGTGCAAATTTTTTTAGTTACTTTAGAAAAACCGTTTTTTGCAACTTTGCGATTTTTTTTAACCATGTTCGCCATTTTGGATTGAGTTTAAAAAACAAGAAACTAAATTTAAAATTTAATTTCCTATATGGTCATATTTTTTTTGTCCAGGTAATAATTTCTGTAAGCATTTCTATTATAGAAGCATTAGCTTGGACTAATTAATTCCAATTCGATACGAAAGTACTTTTATAAAGGGTGTCTGCAAATTTCACCGACAACATTTGACTGCATATTCACGACGATAAATAAGTACGATCTACGAAAAAAAAGTTAAATAAAAACTTTCTTTTTTTTTTTGTTGAGTTACAGGCCTTCAAAGTTGTCAAAAATAAACCTAATTTAATTAATAACTTCATAACCCTTTTACCAATCATATTTGGCACATTTATTTGAACTGTTATGGCGTATTATTTCTTAAAACTTTAGTCAAATTTGCTTCAAAAATTATTTTGTCCAAATCAGGGTGGTCGAGCGGAAAGAACAAATAGAAATAAAGGAACAGGAGGTCAAGTGGAAGGAAGGGGAACTGAACGCCACCACAGTGAGATTGCCCGCTGAGGCAGAAATTCATCGTCGAAGGAAAGAGGTGAGTTGGAAAAGGCAAAATATTCAGCGGCGATCGTTAATATTCGCTCTGTTTCAGGACTCAGGTGGCAAAGAATGCTCGGACAGAGAGCGAGAAGATCAAGATAATATGCACGGCCGAAGCCTCGGCGTTCGGCAGCATCGGCAATGCAGACACGGAGAGACTGAGGCAGGAAGCCGCCGTCTACGAGCAGTACGGGGCCGCTGCCATTATGACCCTACTTCTGGAGGCTCTTCCAAAGGTAAGTCGAACATTTCAACGGGACTTTAGTTCGGATAACCTAAATATGTTATGTCTTTCAGATTGCCACCGAAGCGGTCGCTTCCCTTGCCAAGACAGATGAGATCGTGCTGATAGGCGGTCAGGACAATACGACTGCAGAGGTGTCTCGACTCGTGGGACAGATACCGCCAGCCGTCAATGCCTAAACATATGTTCAACTTTCTCCCTGTTCGCTAAAATGTATCCTAGATGTTAAAATTTATTGTACTTTACCCAAGTGTGTGAATAATTATTTTAATAAATGTATACACAGTTTATTTGGTCTCATTATTTGCCAGCAACCGGTTGTGGGTCTGCTCCTAATATTTAAAAAGAGATCTGTTGCACTTCATTCAAATTTAATTTTAAGTGAGGAATTTTGAGTAAAATTATACATATTAATGTAAATTTGGAAACAGGATCGATCAGGATAACGGAAGGTTGAGAAGGTATTTTGCCGATCCTGATATTTAAAGAGATAACTGGAACTATACGTACCCTTAAATCGCTAATTATATTATTGGAAAATTTTCAGACTTGTAGTGGTCTTAAAACATCTTTTAAATTAATTTTGCACGACCGCCATCTACCGGTGAGTAGTTACACTAAACTACTTTGTACTTGAAATGATAGGAAACTAACACAATTAATGAATGTATTAACTTCATACCGGAAAGATGGCGCCACCTACTATAATCTGGCCCAAAAATTGATAGGAATTAAAAACAAATACAACTAAATTTGACAATCCTTTATTAACAAAAATATTACATGCAGTTATTACTATTTATTATAGCACCTAAATGTACATTAATTATTTTAAATTAAGTAACTTGTATTCACTGACTTCCTTCAGCATTTTAGAGATTTTCTTTGTCCTGTAACATAAATAAAAACATATTAAACACCAATTTTATCGAAAAATAGAGTGACTGCCAAAATATCACCGACATTCATCAACATTCATTGACGTTTCGCTTTCATGTTTACTTCGTCGCGCTGAATGGATAAGGTTGACGAGAGCAGAAAATTTTTAAATGAAACTACCTTTGTACCCGCATAAATAGTTTTTTTAATTATAAGGTCTCCGTCAGGTGTCTTTTTATTATTTCGTGGTATAAAACAGTATAAAAAGTGTAAGTCTAAGTACATCTAACAAAGCGTTATTTGCTTCTTCTTCTTCTTCAATTAGTTCAAATGAACCCAGGGTTGCCAGATTTTCTTTTAAGCTAGTAGCCAAACCAAAATTGAAAGTTGCCGAAAATAGCCTACATCTAGTAACAAAAACCGTTATTTATAATTTTTATACATTTGAAGTTTAAAACCATTCAGGTTTGAGTTTGTTCTGAGTCTGGGGACAATCCTTTTCTAGTTGTGTGTGGACAACCCTGAGAAATAGAGTAACTGCTTGTTGTTCTCAAGTAAGGGTAAGAATACAACCATAGAACATATAATACATACAAGTACAACTATGGTCGTAACAATCTAGAAGCTGCACCATGGGAAAAATTTGAGCTCACTTTGAACTTAATACATGTAATTACATACATGCTACTACTCAACAGATGGTAGCAATAAGCTAAATCTAAAGTCCCTAGAATCTAAGCATTTTACTAAAGGCTTCCAAATCCAAACAGTTTACAGAATTCATAGCTTAAATATACGGTTAAAATAATAAAATAATAAAATAATAAAATAATAAAATAATAAAATAATAAAATAATAAAATAATAAAATAATAAAATAATAAAATAATAAAATAATAAAATAATAAAATAATAAAATAATAAAATAATAAAATAATAAAATAATAAAATAATAAAATAATAAAATAATAAAATAATAAAATAATAAAATAATAAAATAATAAAATAATAAAATAATAAAATAATAAAATAATAAAATAATAAAATAATAAAATAATAAAATAATAAAATAATAAAATAATAAAATAATAAAATAATAAAATAATAAAATAATAAAATAATAAAATAATAAAATAATAAAATAATAAAATAATAAAATAATAAAATAATAAAATAATAAAATAATAAAATAATAAAATAATAAAATAATAAAATAATAAAATAATAAAATAATAAAATAATAAAATAATAAAATAATAAAATAATAAAATAATAAAATAATAAAATAATAAAATAATAAAATAATAAAATAATAAAATAATAAAATAATAAAATAATAAAATAATAAAATAATAAAATAATAAAATAATAAAATAATAAAAAAATACTAAAATACTAGAATGCTAAAATACTAAAATACTAAACTACTAAAATACTAAAATAATAAAATAATAAAATAAAACAATAAAATAATAAAATAATAAAATAATAAAATAATATAATACTAAAGTACTAAAATACTAAAATACTAAAATACTAAAATACTAAATTACCAAAATACTAAAATACTATAACACTAAAATACTAAAATACTAAAATACCAAAATAGTAAAATACTAAAATACTAAATTACTAAAATGATAAAATGATAAAATAATAAAATAAAACAATAAAAANACTAAAATACTAATAAAATACTAAAATACTAAATTACTAAAATGATAAAATGATAAAATAATAAAATAAAACAATAAAATAATAATAAAATAATAAAATTAAATAATATAATAATAAAATTATAAAATACTAAAATACTAAAATACTAAAATATTAAAATACTACAATACTAAAATAATAAAATAATAAAATAATAAAATACTAAAATACTAAAATACTAAAATACTAAAATACTAAAATACTAAAATACTAAAATACTAAAATACTAAAATACTAAAATACTAAAATACTAAAATACTAAAATACTAAAATACTAAAATACTAAAATACTAAAATACTAAAATACTAAAATACTAAAATACTAAAATACTAAAATACTAAAATACTAAAATACTAAAATACTAAAATACTAAAATACTAAAATACTAAAATACTAAAATACTAAAATACTAAAATACTAAAATACTAAAATACTAAAATACTAAAATACTAAAATACTAAAATACTAAAATACTAAAATACTAAAATACTAAAATACTAAAATACTAAAATACTAAAATACTAAAATACTAAAATACTAAAATACTAAAATACTAAAATACTAAAATACTAAAATACTAAAATACTAAAATACTAAAATACTAAAATACTAAAATACTAAAATACTAAAATACTAAAATACTAAAATACTAAAATACTAAAATACTAAAATACTAAAATACTAAAATACTAAAATACTAAAATACTAAAATACTAAAATACTAAAATACTAAAATACTAAAATACTAAAATACTAAAATACTAAAATACTAAAATACTAAAATACTAAAATACTAAAATACTAAAATACTAAAATACTAAAATACTAAAATACTAAAATACTAAAATACTAAAATACTAAAATACTAAAATACTAAAATACTAAAATACTAAAATACTAAAATACTAAAATACTAAAATACTAAAATACTAAAATACTAAAATACTAAAATACTAAAATACTAAAATACTAAAATACTAAAATACTAAAATACTAAAATACTAAAATACTAAAATACTAAAATACTAAAATACTAAAATACTAAAATACTAAAATACTAAAATACTAAAATACTAAAATACTAAAATACTAAAATACTAAAATACTAAAATACTAAAATACTAAAATACTAAAATACTAAAATACTAAAATACTAAAATACTAAAATACTAAAATACTAAAATACTAAAATACTAAAATACTAAAATACTAAAATACTAAAATACTAAAATACTAAAATACTAAAATACTAAAATACTAAAATACTAAAATACTAAAATACTAAAATACTAAAATACTAAAATACTAAAATACTAAAATACTAAAATACTAAAATACTAAAATACTAAAATACTAAAATACTAAAATACTAAAATACTAAAATACTAAAATACTAAAATACTAAAATACTAAAATACTAAAATACTAAAATACTAAAATACTAAAATACTAAAATACTAAAATACTAAAATACTAAAATACTAAAATACTAAAATACTAAAATACTAAAATACTAAAATACTAAAATACTAAAATACTAAAATACTAAAATACTAAAATACTAAAATACTAAAATACTAAAATACTAAAATACTAAAATACTAAAATACTAAAATACTAAAATACTAAAATACTAAAATACTAAAATACTAAAATACTAAAATACTAAAATACTAAAATACTAAAATACTAAAATACTAAAATACTAAAATACTAAAATACTAAAATACTAAAATACTAAAATACTAAAATACTAAAATACTAAAATACTAAAATACTAAAATACTAAAATACTAAAATACTAAAATACTAAAATACTAAAATACTAAAATACTAAAATACTAAAATACTAAAATACTAAAATACTAAAATACTAAAATACTAAAATACTAAAATACTAAAATACTAAAATACTAAAATACTAAAATACTAAAATACTAAAATACTAAAATACTAAAATACTAAAATACTAAAATACTAAAATACTAAAATACTAAAATACTAAAATACTAAAATACTAAAATACTAAAATACTAAAATACTAAAATACTAAAATACTAAAATACTAAAATACTAAAATACTAAAATACTAAAATACTAAAATACTAAAATACTAAAATACTAAAATACTAAAATACTAAAATACTAAAATACTAAAATACTAAAATACTAAAATACTAAAATACTAAAATACTAAAATACTAAAATACTAAAATACTAAAATACTAAAATACTAAAATACTAAAATACTAAAATACTAAAATACTAAAATACTAAAATACTAAAATACTAAAATACTAAAATACTAAAATACTAAAATACTAAAATACTAAAATACTAAAATACTAAAATACTAAAATACTAAAATACTAAAATACTAAAATACTAAAATACTAAAATACTAAAATACTAAAATACTAAAATACTAAAATACTAAAATACTAAAATACTAAAATACTAAAATACTAAAATACTAAAATACTAAAATACTAAAATACTAAAATACTAAAATACTAAAATACTAAAATACTAAAATACTAAAATACTAAAATACTAAAATACTAAAATACTAAAATACTAAAATACTAAAATACTAAAATACTAAAATACTAAAATACTAAAATACTAAAATACTAAAATACTAAAATACTAAAATACTAAAATACTAAAATACTAAAATACTAAAATACTAAAATACTAAAATACTAAAATACTAAAATACTAAAATACTAAAATACTAAAATACTAAAATACTAAAATACTAAAATACTAAAATACTAAAATACTAAAATACTAAAATACTAAAATACTAAAATACTAAAATACTAAAATACTAAAATACTAAAATACTAAAATACTAAAATACTAAAATACTAAAATACTAAAATACTAAAATACTAAAATACTAAAATACTAAAATACTAAAATACTAAAATACTAAAATACTAAAATACTAAAATACTAAAATACTAAAATACTAAAATACTAAAATACTAAAATACTAAAATACTAAAATACTAAAATACTAAAATACTAAAATACTAAAATACTAAAATACTAAAATACTAAAATACTAAAATACTAAAATACTAAAATACTAAAATACTAAAATACTAAAATACTAAAATACTAAAATACTAAAATACTAAAATACTAAAATACTAAAATACTAAAATACTAAAATACTAAAATACTAAAATACTAAAATACTAAAATACTAAAATACTAAAATACTAAAATACTAAAATACTAAAATACTAAAATACTAAAATACTAAAATACTAAAATACTAAAATACTAAAATACTAAAATACTAAAATACTAAAATACTAAAATACTAAAATACTAAAATACTAAAATACTAAAATACTAAAATACTAAAATACTAAAATACTAAAATACTAAAATACTAAAATACTAAAATACTAAAATACTAAAATACTAAAATACTAAAATACTAAAATACTAAAATACTAAAATACTAAAATACTAAAATACTAAAATACTAAAATACTAAAATACTAAAATACTAAAATACTAAAATACTANCTTTTCAACTTTTCAACTTTTCAACTTTTCAACTTTTCAACTTATCAACTTTTCAACTTTTCAAGATAAATAAAGACAACCGTTAAAATATTAAAAATAAAAAAAATTATTATTATTATTCTATGATTCTACAATACAGAAATGTGTATATAAAATATTTTTTATTCCATGTACAAAAGAAAAAAAAAACATAAATCTTGAATAAAAAAAGAATTTATATAAATATACTATTCTAACATTCGATTTGTACAGATTGCCGACACTGGTAAAAACTCGAAATAGCCCAAATTGGCGACTGGCTATTTTTGCTTTTTTTCAAGTATCCGAAAGTCATCTGAGATAGCCCAATTGGCGATAAGTAGCCCAATCTGGCAACCCTGCCGCATAGTATGCGCATATCATATAACTTTTACTACAAAACTCAAAATACATACAAACCAATCTTGGAACCCCATAACTAACAGAATCCATTTGGACTCAGATCAAAGGTAGTATTCTATTATATATTTTGTGGGTAGTATTTAATTTATGACATACAGATGTTGAATTGTTAGAATAACCAACATACATATATACATCCTCATAATTACAATTTGTTTAAATGACTATACATGCAGTATTTAATGATTTGTATGTATTTTGACTTTTGTAGTAAAAGTTATATCATAGAACAAAGACAAATTTGTGTTTTGTTATCTATGGTTATATGCAGGATGCAGTAAAAGTAAGGTGAAATAATTGACATTGCTGTTGTGTGTATGGTGTATATTTATATAATTTTTGGGGATTTAATTACAGATTTTATATAATTTGTTATTTAATGGAAATGTTATATTGGATCATAATATTTGAAGACCCAATATGTTATGGTGTTCTTTTGAATGCATATCACAAACAGCATTAGTTTTATTATGTATTATGCTTTATCAAATATTTAATCGTTAAACAAGTATATTTTTCAGTTTAACTAATTTTATGTTAGAAATAATAAGGAAAATTTAAAAATCATATTACTTATATATACTTTATAAATTTAATAAATTACAAATGGAAAAAGAATTTACGAGTTGATAAAAATAGTAACAAGACAACTATAAAATTTCAGTAGTTATATTCTCAATACGGTTTAAATCTTCGAGCCTTTTTCATGAGATTAATTTTATTTTTTGCCTCTTCAAAACTTTTTCTAAGAGCCGCAATGTGTTCCTTTTTAGAATCCCGGATTTGAAAAGTATAGAAATTCTTTAACTGCTTCTTCTCTGATAACGCTTGATCCTTTTCTTTTAATTTATGTTCCACGCTCTCCTTTCTGGATATGCCAGGATTTCTTCCTTTCTTGGTAACAACCGTCCAACCCTCGTCGTTTACCAATTCTTTATCACCTTTCTTTTTCTTTTCTTCTTCCTTGTCATAATTACTTATGTACAAATTAATTTCCTTCTGTAATTCCTCCGGATCACATATGCTTGAATTATAATCCTCAATCCACTTTTCCAAACCAACTTTAAGAGGCACTTCATCAGTCGACAGTGAATTAATTGCGTCTAGTTTCATAGCTTTTAATAAACTCTCCCTTTTCTCAAAGACGACATAAGATCTTTTAAATCCATCGTTAGTTACCTTTTCATTATCATCACTTTGAAAAATTACAGACCTCACTCGTCCAGCCTTAGAAAAGGATACTTTCAGACTATTTTCTGTTGCGTACGGTGGGACATTTATCACAAATAATGTTTTACCTGCGGGTTTACTATCTTCAATACTTCTTATTGAATGTTCTTTTATAAACAGGTTGTGACAACTTGTACTGCTGCTTGAAAATCGTAAGGGTAGTACTAGAAATAGTAAATTTTATTGAATTAAAGACGTACTTTGCTAAATAATGTTTACCTTTAAAACCTTGTAAACTACTTGAAGACATTTTATTCCTAATTTTTAGTTTGCTTAATTTCCTAATAGATTTTTACTTTTGTCGTTTCATTTGAGCTTTCCCAACGTTTATTTTTCAGGTTAACTTCTTCCGTCAGTCAACCTAGCTTGAATTTAATATTCTGTGGTTTGACCCATAGAAAAAAAAATAAACAAGATAGAACGAAATCTCCCTAAATAATCCACTAAACCATTAACACAGCGCCTCTGGTGATTTGGAAGCCTAACTAATGCATAATGTAGACAACCGTAGATATGTATATGTACATTTGGTTGCCTAATTTAAGTGCAGTATTTATTGTTGCCCATGGGTATTATTATTAAATATTTTTCCTTTATATTTAAAAGTTTAAATAAATATTAAAGTAAAGAAATCTACCTTGTTTAAATTGTCCATACTTTAATATATATATTTAAACTTTTAAATATAAAGCAAAAGCATAAACATACCAGAACCCCATTTGTTTAAAGGAATAAAAAAATATTTTATGAAATACAAAACAATTTATTATATAAACTAGAAATGGTTTATTACAACGGAAAGGACATATTTAATATTAAGACTTACTTATCTAAATTATTC